CTATACTACATTTTTGTATTTCTTTTCTAAAACCGACAGGAACTCCATTGCTATATAACTGTAACTCTTGTTGAAACTCAGCAACACATCTGAAAATGACAAAAAGTGTGTGGGGCGGGGGGGGGGGGAAGAGTTATAAAGTGCCTATCTTTTGTCATAGGAGAATTTAAGTTTCCTACTACTTTTGCTCAAAACAATTGACCTACAAATTTTAGCAGACTTTTTGATTAGAGATGTATCTAATTGCAAATGTTTGAACAATCCTAGTATTTAAGCCTCAGGATGCTAGCTATGCCTATGCTGTAAGACTGAATTTGTGTGAAGCTGACATTCTTAGACTGGGATACTATTGTTAACATACATTTGCCTGAATTTATGTAAAGGTTGTATCTAGATTCTAGACAATGAAGGGAAATGTCAGAGAGCTTCACATTATTTTTAACAACTTAAGTTGGCAGGCAACACATTTGTGCTGTTATGTAATTAAGAATAAAAATAAGTGACAAGGTTTGGAAATCTAAAGTTATTTGCCATCTTGCTTATAGTGATTGCGCAGCAGTATTGAAAGTGATTGGTAAACAGGGTTCACCATGTCCAGCTGCAAACATCTAGCTGATAAATATTAGAGGGCAGCAAAGAGGTTGAACTATTGTGGTTCTTTAGTGGGATTAACTATTAACTATTGTGGGTTCTTTAGTGGGTTTTTGCGGCTCATGTATGACAAAGTTATCTTTAAGTAAGTTGCATGACTGATGTTGTAAAGATGAAATATATGCAATACCTACTGCTATATCATGATCTTTTTGAGTTCAGATCTTTATTCTTTTTCCATTTAAAAAAATTAAGTTCCCTTTTCTCTAAAAAGAATAAAACTGGATAGTATGCATAGAAATCACTTAGTTGACACAGGGAGCAGGTATATTTATTCCACTGCCCTATTCCATTGGTGATTTCATTGTAGTGACGCATTATTGCTGCTACCCATTTGCTGCTTCCTGTCTTGTTGCAGTGATTGTGTTTGAACAAAAAAAAAAAGATTAGTTGCAGGGTGTAATAGTATATACTGTTCAGTTTCTCTTCTGCATTTGTCCTTTTGAAGGAACTGTACCAAAACAATTCGGGAAATTTTGAAGTTAGAGGTAAAGTCTACTGATGTGACTGGATTTTCAAATGATAGTGTAATGGCTTTTATAAGTACATTTTTTAAAAATTCAAAGTTTGTGTTTGAAAAGAAAAAAAATAAATCAAAATTCTTAGAAAATTTAACATGTTAACTTTGTGGAACAGTAACTAAAATATTTTGCCATTTTGGAGAATAGAATTAAAGAACAATGAGCTCTGTATAAATATATCAGATAATTTAATATTAAATCTATAGTTTTAATTACAACAGAAATACTTGTTTACTGCTTGTGCTGATGAGTACTGGACACTACTAGCTCATTTATGTATGATATGTTTACATAAGTGCAAAGGTGGTATAATTTTTTTTATTTTCATTTTCTTCTGCTTTGAGTCAGTCTTGACTCCTGAACAAGTTCCTGCAGTTTTCTTGGCAAGATTTCAGAAGTGATTTGCCAGTGCCTTCTTCCTAAGGCTGGGACAAAGTGTCTGATCCAAGGTTACTCAGATGGCTTTGTGTCAAAAGCAGAACTAGAACTCGGGGTCTGCTGGGTACCAACCAGGTGCCTTATTATTTATTTATTTATTGAATTTATATTGCTGCCTATTCGCCCATGGTGACTCGAGGTGGCTTACAGAATGTAAAACCATATGTAAAATAAAAAACAATAAAAACTAACAAAAATAATCAAATAAATTAATAAAGTATAATATAACAAAATATGGAAAGAAAATAAATAAAAAATCACCCCCCAACTCCCACCCCCCCGCCCCGACGATAGCAGATCACACGAGCCATTTGATGGGCTCCATCCCGCTCTGGGTTCCCCAGGCCCACTGGCAGAACCAGGTCTTCAGTGCCTTCTGGAAGAGTATTAGAGAGTGGGACATTCTAATCTCTGGGAGAATGATGTTCCAGAGAGAGGGAGCCACCGCAGAGAAGGCCCTTCTTCTGGGTTCCACCAGGTGTATCTCCCTCAGGGATGGGACCCACAGCATTTCCTGCCTCCCTGCTCATGCTTAACAAGAATGTTAAAAATAAAAAAAAAATGTAATTCTTTCAAATTAGCTAATAGAAGAAAAATATTGTGAAGTGGGTCAGACAAGTTCTACTCAATAAAGGACTTTTTTGAAATAAGCAGCTTTGTTAAATGTTGGTCATATTTATTTTGTGATGCTCTGGCTAATTTCTAAGGGATGTGGTGGCTCAGTGGATAAGACACTGAGCTTGTCGATCAGAAAGGTTGGTAGTTCAGAAGTTTGGATCCCTAGCACCGCGTAACGGAGTGAGCTCCCGTTACTTGTCCCAGCTTCTGCCAACCTAGCAGTTCGAAAGTAGAAAAATAGGGACCACTTGGTGGGAAGGTAATAGCGTTATGTGCACCTTCGGTGTGGAGACGCCTTCAGACAGCGCTGACTCTGTGTTTACTGGAGATGAGCACCGCCCCCTAGATCCGGAAACGACTAGCACGTATGTGCGAGGGGAATCTTTACCATTACCTTAAGATAGGAACACTAAAACCAAGAGTTTAGTTACAATTACTGTGTTAATGTGAAGTTCAGAAAGCTCTGGTTGTAGCAGAAATAACTAAAGGCATAATTTGTGTGCAGCTCATATAAAGCTAAACAAATTTTTCTGACCACTCAGTTAACATGTCCTATTCTTCCTCTATTCCATCTTCCCAAGACAATGCGAGTTTGACACCCTGTTCTAGGCTACAACATTACTTAGTTTTGTACAAAAAATTGCATTATTGGTTTCAGTTATGAAGAATACTATAATTATAGTATATAAATATTACATAGTATTGTATTTAGCTCTTCAGTAATTCAGTAGACTATTAAAGACAGAAGTTTATCCTTTAACAAGAAATGTTTTTTTTTCTGCAGGAGATTCTGGTAATCTGGCAAGTCGTACAAATGATGATTTGTTTCTGGTGCTTTTTATATACATTATTTAAAATGGCTATACAATTTGTTGTTAGTTGTGAAATCATGTCTGACCCATCGCGGCCCCATGGACAATGTTTCTCCAGGCCTTCCTGTCCTCTACCATCCTCTGGATGGTAAAACCCTAAAAAAGGAAAACCTCTGCAGAAAGTACTGAAAATATTTCCCTAGCTGTAGATCCTCAGTAATGAATGAAGTCTTTGGCTAATGCTTATGGTGCTTAGTGATGATGTAGTCCTGCGATCATTCAAAGGCAAACGTGGGAAGGATCTCTGTAAAAGATTCTCAGTTAGTGTAAAGACAGATATTATAACAAAGTTAAAGTGTTTGTATAGCATTTGATAAGTCTTCTGTTATTCCTGTATGTTTTGTTCAGTTTTTGCAATTAGTTTAGGCCCCTTTAAAAATTCAGCAGGTAATAATTCCTTTATGGTGGAAAGGGTCCACAGTTTGATTGTAAAATAACAATGGCAAACATGAACTCATAAAATTGACCTTTGAAGAAATTATGACTTTGAAGTTCTTTTAAAAAAAGGAAGACATCTTTAAAGAGGTTGATACTTTTGATTAAGTTTATTTTATGCCAGTATTTTAAAATAAATGTACTAATTTTTAAACTCTTTTAAGTACTGTAGAGTAAGTAGATGCATAAGTTGATCATGGTTTAAACAAAAGTAAAGCCTGTACCACACTTACATAAAGCATGATAGTTTATGAATTACCAACCACAATAGGCACATTACAGTTAACAAATACAAACAAATAAAAAACTCCTATAATTTAGTGTCATAAGTAAATCTGCATCTTATATCTTATAAGAAGAAACTATAGTAGTTCAAACTACTAACAGCTTCATTGTTTCACAACATGTAGTAGAAACAGCAGAAGTGCTATTAATGTACTAATTTTTATTATACTGCATCTCTATCGCAAAGTTCATTTTTGGAGGCTTAGGTTGCTATTTTATAGATACTTTAAACAAACCCTTTGTTTTATGTATAGCTCAAAAAGCTGTGAATTTCTTCCATACTTCTGAGAGAGAATGTGTAAGCTTTGATCTAGCATGGGAAATAACATAGCATTAAGGAAAGTGATAACTTACAACACTACTAATTTTTGAATACAGATAGTCCTCTACTTATGACCGCAATTGAACCCAACATTTATGTGGCTAAGTGAGAAATTTGTTAAGTGAGTTTGTCCCATTTTATGACTTTTCTTGTCACATTTGTTAAGTGAATCGCTGCAGTTCTTAAATTAGTAACACGGTTGTTAAGTGAATCTGGTTTCCCTGTTGACTTTGCTTGTCAGAAGATCGCAAAAGGAGATCACATCACTCTGGGACACTGCAACCATCATAAACATGAGTCAGGTGCCAAGCATCCGAATGTAAATCATCTGACCATTTGGATGCTGCAGTGATCATAAGTGTGAAAAATGGTCATAAGTCACTTTTGTTCAGTGCTGCTGTAACTTTGAACAGTCTCTAAATGAACTGTTGTAACTGAAGGACTACCTGTATATTTTGTCTTATTGATTTTGCTTTATAATTTCTATTTGCATTTCCCTATTTCTTCATATTGGATTATCCACTTCAACTAATGCACTTAAGGATTTTTTTTTAAAGCTAGCCATTATGCTGTCAATACTTGTGGACCACTATTCACTTTTTATTTTTACACAGCTTTTGGTGCCATGTTTTTCTTTAAGAGGTTTCTGGGGATTATGCCCAAATATTAATATAAAAGAAGCATTATGAAAAGGTGCATGCTGTTCTTGCAATAATAACAGAGTTTCGGATGTTTGCTTCACTTGCTTTGTAAGTTTTCACTGTCTAGCCAAAGTGGACATCTGTCATATCCGTCTGAAATGAAAGGTGAATTTGTTACTCTGACAGATATTTGACAGCTATTCTGCTTTCTTTATAGATTACTGCTTATGCTGGAGCATTTATTATTTGTGGACCACTATACTTCACTTGATTCATAACACAGATCTGGATACCTGGATATATAAAACACTTATTTTAGAGGTAATCTCAAAGAGATCAAACATATTATATATTTCATTGTGTTTTTCTTTCAGTTTTAAAATAATTTTATTAATAGTATATTATTTTTTATGCTGCAATGTTAGCTACCAACAGTCATGAAATATTTTGTTTACATTATTCATACATACATGCCCATTTCTCTTTAATAATGTACAGAATGGCAGGCTTTCAGACTACTATCTTATTTTACTTGATCTTCAATATTAAACATTATCTGGCTAAATCTATTTTCAAGACAAAAAAAGGCTACATCATGTTGACTATCTAACTTTAATAGCCTTGACATTATACCTTCATGCAGGGCTGGGATCCAACTGGTATAACTACAGGTTCTGTTGCTCTGCCTCGCTCGCGCATGCGCGAGTTGCGTGAGTGCAATTTACAACCTGCTGAGCTGCCTGGACAGCTGAGCAGTGCTGCATGAGGGTGCACAGTGGTTGGAAAAGCCCTTTTTTCCTGCTTTTTCAACTGCAGCTATGCTGCACAAAGCAGCTGTGGTTGAAAATGCAGGAAATAAAGGACAGGTAAGAGCCAGGGCGGGCAGGTGGGCCAAAACAACAGCAGACATAGAACCCGTTTTATGTCTGCTGCTCTTCAGAACAACTGGATCTACAGAGGTGGACAGAACCGGTAGAATCCCACCCCTGCCTTCATGATATTTTATATGAAATTATGCAGCTATTTTGCTTCAGTTTATAAGTTTAAATTTGATCAATATCTGGACAGAGAACATAATATCATATACTACAATTCTATGATGGGAAAATTGTAGTATATAAATATGTTACATTAAAACTGTAGCTATTTTACAGTAATCTGAAGAGCATAATTTTACATTCACTTAAATAAAACAGCAATTTTATTCTATTTCTTCCCCATTTCTGTTAGGAGTTTCCCATAGAACCCTTGTCTTGGACAGACTCTGCTTTGGCAGGTCAGCAGTGTATCCATTTCACAAATATGTGGGTAACATGATACTTGACAAGTTTAATGTTTGGCTTTGTTCCATTATTGTTGTCTGAAGAAGAGCATTTCACTGTTCCTCTTGCTTTTGGCGAATCCTAAATCATCATTTTCATATGACCTACTTTGAAACTGATACCTAGGTGAGTTCTGTATTATAAATGGGTTCAGAGAGTGTTCCAACATTTCTACAAAGAGAAATTGGAGTGTAGATTGTGCTTCTCTTTTGAACATGCTTGCAGTCAATGCTGTCTTTTGAAAAATGTCTAAGGCCTACTGTTGCTGAATTCAAATGCCACTGTGAAAAGTTAGATATGTCCATAAGTTCTTTAAAGAGCTGTATATAATGAATGGCTTCTATATGAAGAACTGAAGAATAAAAGGACATATATGACATGTAGAATTTCTGAATATATTTTTTTGAGAACCAGAATTTGTCATGGCCAATGCAAACAGATTTGAGGGCCTGTAACTAATGAAATTGAAGAATCATAAATCTGTAGCCTGAAATACAGTGGAAGATTTTTATGGCTTTTGGTGCAAGCCCTTTGCAGGGAGAGGACTACAAAAGGAGACTGAGGATTCAGTAGGAATCCTCTCTTTCTCTCTTTTCCCCATCTGCAGCTATGTGAAGCTTTAGGAGACTAACAAGTACAGTATACAATTTTAAGATATGAAAAGGAGTGGCTGGAATTGGTTATTTATATCAGTGTACGTGTCTGAAAAAGAAACTGTACTATGATGGGGAAATTGGAGAAAAACCATCCATTTTTAGGTCCTTTTTAAAAGAATTTTCTCAACAGATTTTATGTAACTGAGTAAATGAACTTGGGTGTGTAAAAATCCTTCTATCTGGAAATGAGAATAAATCTGGGGTAAAAGTATAAGTGTGAGAATCATAAAGCCTGCTGAGGCAATATTCAGCTGAATGTAAGTAGAGCTGACTCTGTTCTAGGAACTGATGAAAGATGGATTGGTAATTTGTCTTGTTTTGCGTTGGTTGAGTTATCGCTTAGTAGATGAGAGTGCTTCAGGTTTGGTGTTGGGTGACTACATAATGTTTCTAGGGAAACTGGTGGTGGGAACATCTAAAAAAGGTAAAGAAATCTGTTCTGAAGATGAACACTTAAAATTATTCTTGGATTGCATTGGGTTAATCTGTAAGTTGTTTCTTTTCTTTTGTATTTTGCTATGCCATCATACCTTATTTATTTTGTTCTGCTTTCCAGCATTACTATGCTTATCAACATGCTTGTATTAAATCTGGATATTTAGTTGATATCTAATCATCTGTACCATAAAGTTGGAAATAGTACTGAATTTGAACGTTTCTATTTAACTCAATGTAGCTACATCAAGTCACTTTGCATGCTATTGGGAGTGAGTAAATGGATTCATAACATAGAGTTATATAAAACTGTTTACACATCACCAATGAATTCCAATTGTGAAAGAAGAGTACCTCAAAATAAAGTAGTGGCTTGTTAATTTGATATCATTATAATATTATTAATCATGAGTTCATCAGAAATACAGTCCCATTTTATATATTTGAAGCAGGAGATATTTATTTATTTGTTTGTCAAACATGTACAAGATAACAAGTATAAGTATGAACATAAGCAAGAACAAAGGAAGTAAATACAGATAATAAATAAGTAAATACAGATAAATAATTGCCTCGTTGCGATTCGTGTGGCGAAGTGTAAATACTTCTCCACACTAATTGCGTCTGCAGATAATTGCCCAGCGACCCTCTTTAAGGTGAGCCTTATCCTCCTGGGGAAGGAGGAGATTGAGGTTGACCTCAAGGGATGCACTGAGGAATTTGCGGATTTTCTGGAAGACAAAATCGCTCAACTTTGTTCCCAGTTAGATGCTGGCATGGTTGCTGGTCCGGTGGAAGCTTCTGAGGCAGGTTCTTTCCCTGTTATCTGGGAACGGTTTGACTCTGTTGCTCCTGAGTAAGTGGACAGGATCCTAGGGAGTATGTGCGCAAGCACCTTGGCAACTCTAGAAATATTTTATGAGTTGACATGAGCTCAGCAACCTAAAGCATAGAGGGCGACCCATCAAGGAACGCATTCATGAATTCAGAAGAATCAGTGGGAAGCTACCCCTTTTGCCTGAGTGGAAGTTTGACTCGAGACTCATGATTTAATTGGGGTAACTGCTGGAAGCCTGACACACCTGTGTTTTAGACCCATGTCCCACTTGGCTTGTGAAAGCTTCCCAGGAGGTGACAGGCAGGTGGACTCTGGGGGTGATTAAGGAGGGGACAGTGCCCCAGAACTTTAAGGAGGCTGTGGTCCACCCCCTTCTTAAGAAGCCATCGCTGGAATCCACCTGGTTGAATAATTTCTGACCTATCTCCAATATTCCCTTTTTGGGAAAGGTTGTTGAGAAGTTGGTCGCATAGCAGCTCCAGAGGTTTCTGGATGAAATGGATTATCTCGACCCCTACCAATCAGGATTCAGGCCTGGAGTTGGGACAGAAATGGCATTGGTTGCACTTTTAGATGATCTCTGGCGGGAGCGGGATGAGAGTAGTGCGTGCATCCTTGCTCTACTTGACCTTTTGGCAGCTTTCAACACCGTTGACCATGGGATTCTCCTGGGATGGCTTCGGAGGATGGGAGTGGGAGGCTTTGTGCTGTTCTGGTTCACTTCCTTCCTCTGCAACTGCTCTTAGTCAGTGTTGATAAGAGGGGAGAGATCCAGCCCTCGCCCACTGCTTTATGGTTTACGGGATTCCGCAGGGCTTGGTACTCTCTCCACTCCTGTTCAACATTTATATGAAGCCAATGGGTGAGATCATCCGACACCATGAACTGAGGTATCACCAATATGCTGATGATACTCAGCTGTATCTCTTGGGCCATGCTGAGTTAAGTGTTGCTGTGTCCTCCCTCTCACAGTGCCTGGAGGCTGTTAGGGGCTGGATGGGGAGCAACAGGTTGAAACTAAATTCTTGCAAGACTGAGTGGCTCTGGGTTTGGGGTTCGTTGGCTCAGGGAGAATTCCCATTTTTGGTCTTGGATGGGATGGCACTACCCCAAACAGACCCTGTTCATAATCTAGTGGTTTTCCTGGACTCACAATTCCTACATGAAGATGGCGGCCGTGGCCAGGAGGGCCTTTGCACAACTGTGGGTTGTGCACCAATTATGCCCTTTACTGGACCAACGGTCCCTACTCACAGTCATTCATGCCCTAGACACTTCCCGTCTTGACTATTGCAACATGCTCTACATGGGGCTGCCCTTGAAGAACATCTGGAAGCTCCAGTTGGTGCAAAATGCAGCAGCCTGCATGGTTTTGTTCAAACCCCGATGTGCAGTTTCACCTCACCTCTCCTGCGGGAACTGCATTGGTTGCCAATTTGCTTCCAGGTGCAATTCAAAGTGCTGGTTGTCACCTTTAAAGCCCTTCATGGCTTGGGACCAGGTTATCTGAGGGAACGTCTCTTGCCAGTCACATCTACATGACCCATTAGAGCGGGGAGGCAGAGAATGCTGTTTGTCCTATCCCTGAGGGAGATACACCTTGTGGGACCCAGAAGAAGGGCCTTCTCTGTGGTGGCTCCCTCTCTCTGGAACATCATTCCCCCAGAGATTAGAATGTCCCACTCTCTAATACTCTTCCGGAAGGCCCTGAAGACCTGGTTCTGCCAGCTGGCCTGGGAACCCAGACCAGGATGGAGCCCATCAAATGGCTCATGTGATCTGCTGTCATCGGGCAGGGGGTGGGAGTTAGGGGTGATTATTTTTTTTCAGATTTTGTTCTATTGTACTTTATTAATTTATTTGATTCTTTTTGTTAGTTTTTATTTTTTATTTTAAATATGGTTTTGCATTCTGTAAGCCACCTCGAGTCACCATGGGCGAATAGACCGCAATATAAACTAACTAACTAACTAACTAACTAACTAACTAACTAAATAAATAAATAAATAAATAAATAGGGAAAATAAGACAGGGATGAGCTCACTGGTGCGCTTATGCACGCCCCCTTTTAGTACCTCATAAGAATGGGGTGAGGTACACGGGAAAGCAGTTTGAGGTTGAAGCTGTGAGGGTTTGAGGCTTTAACAACGGAGTCAGATAGGGCGTTCCAGTGTTGACCACTCTGTTGCTGAAGTATTTTCTGCAATCGAATTTGGAGCGGTTTACCTTGAATTTATATTGGCTGTTTGCCCGTGTATTATTGTGATTGAAGCTGAAGAAGTCGTTGACAGGCAAGTTGGTATAGAAGACAATTTTGTGAACTATGCTTAGTTCGGACCACAGGCGGTGCAGTTCCAGATTGTCCAGGCCCAAAATTTCAAGCCTGGAGGCATTGGGAATTCTATTGTGAGTGGAGGAGTGGAGTACTTTTCTCGAGAAATACCTCTGAACCTGCTCAATTCTGTTAATGTCCAATATACAGTGCAGGTTCCAGGTGGACAAGCTGTATTCAAGAATTGGTCTGGCAAAGGTTTTGTATGCCCTAGTTAACAATTCAATGTTGCCGGAGAAAAAGCTTCGCAAACTAAGGTTAACAATTCTTAAAGCCTTTTTGGCAATGCTGTTACAGTGAGCTCTGGGGTTTGCGATAAGTACTCCTAGGTCCTTGACAGAGTGAGGGTCATCTACGAGATCGCTTCCGCCTAACTTGTATTTGGTGTTCTGATTTTTTTTGCCAATGTGTAGGACAGAGATATTTAGATGTTGTTGTATTTAATGTGAAATATGCTATTGCAAATCAATTAATAGGATCCTCTCCCCTCTTTTTTGTATAGAACAGTTTTTTCTAACTTGGAGCCTTCCAAATGTTTTCGGTTGCAACTCCCATCATCCCTAGCAATAGGGTGGAGTTCAGGTTAGGGAAAGCTGATGTAGATAATAATCAAACAGAAGCTTCTGTAATAGTTATTATCTTATATGAACAAGACATGATAGAATAGATATACTAATTATGGATCTCTGTAGTTATTTTAATTTCAATTACATTGTGTCAT